CTCCTTCTACCTTCTCCTTCTACCTGACATACACTACCTGTATCCTTAATCGCACTACTTCCTCCTTCTACCTTCTCCTTCTACCTGACATACACTACCTGTATCCTTAATCGCACTACCTCCTCCTTCTACCTTCTCCTTCTACCTGACATACACTACCTGTATCCTTAATCGCACTACCTCCTCCTTCTACCTTCTCCTTCTACCTGACATACACTACCTGTATCCTTATTCGCACTACCTCTCCTTCTACCTTCTCCTTCTACCTGACATACACTACCTGTATCCTTAATCGCACTACCTCCTCCTTCTACCTTCTCCTTCTACCTGACATACACTACCTGTATCCTTAATCGCACTACCTCCTCCTTCTACCTTCTCCTTCTACCTGACATACACTACCTGTATCCTTAATCGCACTACCTCCTCCTTCTACCTTCTCCTTCTACCTGACATACACTACCTGTATCCTTAATCGCACTACCTCCTCCTTCTACCTTCTCCTTCTACCTGACATACACTACCTGTATCCTTAATCGCACTACCTCCTCCTTCTACCTTCTCCTTCTACCTGACATACACTACCTGTATCCTTAATCGCACTACCTCCTCCTTCTACCTTCTCCTTCTACCTGACATACACTACCTGTATCCTTAATCGCACTACCTCCTCCTTCTACCTTCTCCTTCTACCTGACATACACTACCTGTATCCTTAATCGCACTACCTCCTCCTTCTACCTTCTCCTTCTACCTGACATACACTACCTGTATCCTTAATCGCACTACCTCCTCCTTCTACCTTCTCCTTCTACCTGACATACACTACCTGTATCCTTAATCGCACTACCTCCTCCTTCTACCTTCTCCTTCTACCTGACATACACTACCTGTATCCTTAATCGCACTACCTCCTCCTTCTACCTTCTCCTTCTACCTGACATACACTACCTGTATCCTTAATCGCACTACCTCCTCCTTCTACCTTCTCCTTCTACCTGACATACACTACCTGTATCCTTAATCGCACTACCTTCCTCCTTCTACCTTCTCCTTCTACCTGACATACACTACCTGTATCCTTAATCGCACTACCTTCTCCTTCTACCTTCTCCTTCTACCTGACATACACTACCTGTATCCTTAATCGCACTACCTTCCTCCTTCTACCTTCTCCTTCTACCTGACATACACTACCTGTATCCTTAATCGCACTACCTCCTCCTTCTACCTTCTCCTTCTACCTGACATACACTACCTGTATCCTTAATCGCACTACCTCCTCCTTCTACCTTCTCCTTCTACCTGACATACACTACCTGTATCCTTAATCGCACTACCTCCTCCTTCTACCTTCTCCTTCTACCTGACATACACTACCTGTATCCTTAATCGCACTACCTCCTCCTTCTACCTTCTCCTTCTACCTGACATACACTACCTGTATCCTTAATCGCACTACCTCCTCCTTCTACCTTCTCCTTCTACCTGACATACACTACCTGTATCCTTAATCGCACTACCTCCTCCTTCTACCTTCTCCTTCTACCTGACATACACTACCTGTATCCTTAATCGCACTACCTCCTCCTTCTACCTTCTCCTTCTACCTGACATACACTACCTGTATCCTTAATCGCACTACCTCCTCCTTCTACCTTCTCCTTCTACCTGACATACACTACCTGTATCCTTAATCGCACTACCTCCTCCTTCTACCTTCTCCTTCTACCTGACATACACTACCTGTATCCTTAATCGCACTACCTCCTCCTTCTACCTTCTCCTTCTACCTGACATACACTACCTGTATCCTTAATCGCACTACCTCCTCCTTCTACCTTCTCCTTCTACCTGACATACACTACCTGTATCCTTAATCGCACTACCTCCTCCTTCTACCTTCTCCTTCTACCTGACATACACTACCTGTATCCTTAATCGCACTACCTCCTCCTTCTACCTTCTCCTTCTACCTGACATACACTACCTGTATCCTTAATCGCACTACCTCCTCCTTCTACCTTCTCCTTCTACCTGACATACACTACCTGTATCCTTAATCGCACTACCTCTCCTTCTACCTTCTCCTTCTACCTGACATACACTACCTGTATCCTTAATCGCACTACCTCCTCCTTCTACCTTCTCCTTCTACCTGACATACACTACCTGTATCCTTAATCGCACTACCTCCTCCTTCTACCTTCTCCTTCTACCTGACATACACTACCTGTATCCTTAATCGCACTACCTCCTCCTTCTACCTTCTCCTTCTACCTGACATACACTACCTGTATCCTTAATCGCACTACCTCCTCCTTCTACCTTCTCCTTCTACCTGACATACACTACCTGTATCCTTAATCGCACTACCTCCTCCTTCTACCTTCTCCTTCTACCTGACATACACTACCTGTATCCTTAATCGCACTACCTTCTCCTTCTACCTTCTCCTTCTACCTGACATACACTACCTGTATCCTTAATCGCACTACCTCCTCCTTCTACCTTCTCCTTCTACCTGACATACACTACCTGTATCCTTAATCGCACTACCTCCTCCTTCTACCTTCTCCTTCTACCTGACATACACTACCTGTATCCTTAATCGCACTACCTCCTCCTTCTACCTTCTCCTTCTACCTGACATACACTACCTGTATCCTTAATCGCACTACCTCCTCCTTCTACCTTCTCCTTCTACCTGACATACACTACCTGTATCCTTAATCGCACTACCTTCCTCCTTCTACCTTCTCCTTCTACCTGACATACACTACCTGTATCCTTAATCGCACTACCTCCTCCTTCTACCTTCTCCTTCTACCTGACATACACTACCTGTATCCTTAATCGCACTACCTCCTCCTTCTACCTTCTCCCTTTTACCTACTCATACCTTATCCTTAACCACTAAACCCCTCCTTCTACCTTTCCCCCTTCTTTCTACTATTTCCACCCTTTTATTCTTAATCGACTTCCTTTCCTTCACCTTCTCCTTTTCCTGAATACACCTTATCCTAATCGATATTCTCCTTCTAAACCTTTCCCAACTGACATAATATGTAAAACCTAAAAACCGCAATTCTCCTTCCTTACCCTTTTTCCCTTTCTACCCGACATAATACCTGTTCCCTTTAACGAAACCCAAAAACCTCCCCCTTTACTTTCTCCTTTCTTCCCTTTTTACCCAAAACACCTGTTTTAATGACTACCCTTTTCTTCACCTTTCCTTCACCTGAATTTTCCAACCTTTTCCTTAATGAACCTCCTCTTTTTCCTTTACCCGCATACCAATGTATCCTTAATCCACACTTCCCTATTTTTCCCTTCTTGAATACCTCCGTTTTCCTAATCCCATCCTTTTACCTTCTTTACCTGACATACAAATGTTTTAAAAACTATTTTTCTTTTCCCTTCTACCTGACCATTCAACGTACCTATTTGACTACTTCTCCTTAAATTTCCTTTACCTGCCCACCTTAGCCTTAAATGCACAAACTCTTTCCTTTACCTTTTTGTATTTTTACCTGACAACACACCTTTCCAACGATATTTTTATTCCTTTCCGACTACATACCTTTCCTTAATTCGCATTTCCCTTTTTTCTTTACCTTCTTTTTTTTTGTTATACCTCCCCCTTTTTTCCAAAACCCCCTAACCCCTCCCCCCTTTTTCCCTTCTTTTATTTTACATTTTTACCTGATCCCTTTTTCCACTACCTCTCCTTCTTTCCCCACCTTCCCCCTCTATGACATTTACCGTTTTCCCAATCCATAAAAATTCCCTTCTTCTTTTTTCTTTAGAATCCTAATGTTTTTAAGCCCAAATTTCTCCTTTATTCCCTTTACCGAATACCCCTTAGTTAATCGACACCTTCTTTTTTTTGCTCTCCTGAAAATATCCCCCTTATATTCTAATTTTTTGTTATTTGTAAATTTGAAAGCTTTTTACTGAAATTTTCGGTTCCGTACTCCCTTTTTGTTTTTTCAGGGACGATTTAATTTAAACCAGCCCATTTTTACTGATATTTTTTAATCTCATAGAGATAAACTTTGGGGGAAAATTTCCGAAAAATTGGGTATTTTTAATAAAAAAGAGGGGACCCCCAAATAGAACTTAAAAATACTGCTTTAATTTTGGAGGGTATCTTCGACACTACGTACTGACCACACAACAACACATTACAACCGGATATTTTGATTTCCAGATGCCAACAATTTATCATGACTCATCATTTGTGACACTTTCCACATTTGTGGGATTGCCGCAGAGTGTATTTCCTTTTTACGGTTGTTTTTTCTCTGATCTTTGTTTTAGTGTTGAGGTGTGGTCCACCAATTTACCTTATCTTTTAACAGAGCACTCTTTTAACAAGCTCTGCGACAAAGTGAATTTACCTTGATTTTTGGCAAGTGTTTTGACTGTAGCGTAAAGTTGAAATACCAAGGAAGGGATACCACAGTTCACTGCTACTACGTGCTCACTATCTGTTACTCGAACACAGGCTGAACCGTAGTTATTTGTTGACATGTTGACTGTCCTGAGAATCACGAGGTTTTGAAACTTTTAGCGCAGTTCTTCTTCTATATTCTTTAGGTGGGATATACCAAATAATTGCATATTTTATCCCGTATAATTGCACATATTTATTACACGTCTTGTACATGATAATATCTTGTTTTGGTGGCGCCTTTTAAGCGTACATTGTCTGTATCAGGCATCAGTTTATTTCAGTTATTTTTGCAATCTGTTATAGAAAGGTATCCTATATTAGAAAGGTATCCTATATATTCTCTATATAATACCTATATTTCCTCTATATCTTGTTATTTTGTAATTATATCACGCATCAACAAATAATTTTAACCGGAAATTTCTCAGGTTGTCCGTTAAAATTCTTTTAAACATGTCATTTTAAGTATCTTACTTCATAAATATTTCAATTAAAACAGTACATATTTAAATAGAGAATTAAAGAGTATTTGTTATTTCAGATAGATAAGTGGATTGATGAGATAGGAGAGCCCTTTCTGCGTGATCACGTAGATATTGGTAGCAGTCTGGAGCTTACCGAGAAATACTGCAACGAGTTTACTACCTTTCTAGACGAAGTAAGTTTGCAAGATAATATTATCTGTTCCTTGATAATCCTTGATTAATTAATTATCCTATAATTAGTAATCAACTGCTTATGACAACCAATTATACCTAAATGGCTGGATTTGATCTTGACGATCGATTTATTAATAAATTGTCAAACCGTACGCGTATTTAGTAATTATATATATATATATACTAGAAAGCCCGTGGTAACAGGGACGAAGCTAATAGTATTTTTTGAAAGAAAGTTTTAATGGCATCAAAAAAGATCCATCCCGACCGAAGATACAGCCGATTTAAATATAAAACACTTTAAACACAACGTAATTACCACAAAACGGATAAAAATTACGTTAAAACAATACCTTATCGGACCTTATTTGGACGGACATTACATGAACGGACATAATTATGAACGGACATTAATATGAACGCTCGAAGGCATTCAAAACCATCAAAAATCCGAATTTTTTTCAATTGTTTTGACGTTTTTTTAATTTCAGCAAATGATTTTTAAATCCATTTTTTATACAGTAAGTAAGAAAAGCAGTCATTAAGCAGTAAAAATGTTAAAATATGTGTACACGATCAGTTTCTAATATCACATATCATCTTCATCAAATGGGTTTTCGTGCATGAAATAGTCCATCAGTGATTTCTAGCTTTATGGAAACCTTTTTTTTAATCAAACTACCCCGGTCCTGCATTTCAGTGTTAACTTTTACAAGCCATTCGGCGTGAAGTGGTTTTATCTTAGACAACTTAAGGTTAACCTTAACATCACGTGGAGATTTCCTAGCACTGTTTCATTAACGCCCCTGAGTAATATGAGCTATAACAACGTCGGACAATGTCCTTTGCAACACGATTTACCGTAATATCTAGAGGCTGGAACAAGTTTGTCATGTTGACGGGGACTAGTTCATGAAATATGTTGTTAAGTGCCATAAATATAATTTCGTTGAATTTTTTCCGCCAAGTACAAGTGACCCTTGAAAACATCATATACTAGTAGAGTTTTCTGTGCCTCCGGCAGACCAAGGAGAACCTTTCCGTCGTTAACTTACGGCACAATAAAGTTCTCAAAGTTGTCATATTCTGGACAAAAAGTTCGAAATGGAAAAATTTTTGAAAAAATTTCAACGGACTTTCAACTTGGACGGACATTAATTGAACGGACTTTATTTGAACGGACATTAAGATGAACGCTAGGGCTTCCAGCGTTCAAGTAATGTCCGTCCAAATAAGGTCCGATAAGGTATTTGCACGTGCATGTGTGCATTAAAACACCGTTGCTATGGAACCTTTTGGTTGTTACCTAAATTCCTATTTCTCGTCTGATTTGCACGTGGGCGGTCGTACAAACATTGTACAGACAAAAATAATTCTCTGAATTATAGTAGAGATATATAACTAAATAATTAATTAACCAACTATCTAATTAACTAATTAGCTAATTGCCTAATTAGCTAATTGCCCAGGTATCAGGAGTACGTGAGAAGGTGGAGACGCTAAACGAAGAGGCGCTGTTATCCACCTGGTCCCACTTCAGCACCCGGCTCACTTCCAAACATGACCAGATCCTCGTCGCTAAACAGTTCTTCCTCGCTGTTGATGAGGTGAATATAACGTCACTATTACGTCACTATTACGTCACTATTACGTCACAATTACGTCACACTTCAGCACCCGGCTCACTTCCAAACATGACCAGATCCTCGTCGCTAAACAGTTCTTCCTCGCTGTTGATGAGGTGAATATAACGTCACTATTAAGTCACCATTACGTCACCATTACGTCACACTTCAGCACCCGGCTCACTTCCAAACATGACCAGATCCTCGTCGCTAAACAGTTCTTCCTCGCTGTCGATGAGGTGAATATAACGTCACTATTACGTCACTATTACGTCACTATTACGTCACAATTACGTCACACTTCAGCACCCGGCTCACTTCCAAACATGACCAGATCCTCGTCGCTAAACAGTTCTTCCTCGCTGTTGATGAGGTGAATATAACGTCACTATTACGTCACTATTACGTCACCATTACGTCACACTTCAGCACCCGGCTCACTTCCAAACATGACCAGATCCTCGTCGCCAAACAGTTCTTCCTCGCTGTTGATGAGGTGAATATAATAAACTACAATACACACGTGTGACCTGTGGTGTGACGTCATGACACGTGGTGTGACGTCACACCACGTGTCATGACAAACATGACCAGATCCTCGTCGCTAAACAGTTCTTCCTCGCTGTTGATGAGGTGAATATAACGGATAGCGTTAACAAACTACCATTTCTTGTTTCACACTGTATCCTCTATCTTAGGAGCTTTAACACGACGAGTAGCGAAACTCAAACCAACGTATATTATGCACGTATAATGTATAATGTATATGATATAATGTATATATTATATATTGCACATCTAATTCTTACTGATAGTAAATTAGTTATAGTCGCTTACTTTTTCATCCACCTCTTTTGCCGAAGGTTGTGAAAAAGCTTCCAATAGGAATGGTAGGCAGTTGAGTTGGGTAGTGGTAGGTAGCCAGGTGTTTCATGGTTATCAGTTGTAGGAAACATCATCCTGCTAATAAGGGAGGAGTTTATAGAACTATCTGTAAAGTAAAGTGAATAAAACGCATAGTTGTGACCGTACCACGTGACTAGAGAAGGTACCACGTGACTAGAGAAGGTACCACGTGACTAGAGAAGGTACCACGTGACTAGAGAAGTACCACGTGACTAGAGAAGTACCACGTGACTAGAGAAGGTACCACGTGACTAGTGAAGGTACCACGTGACTAGAGAAGGTACCACGTGACTAGAGAAGTACCACGTGACTAGCGTCGTGGGAAGGCAGACTGAGCGGGTGGTATCTTTATAACCGTGGAGATATAAACATTAAGCTTCTCAGACGACTGTTAAATAGCAACTGATTTGTTTCCGAGAAAAATTTAGATTTTAAAATGTAATGAAAAATGAGATAAGAAAGCCTCAAAACAGTGTTATTATGGAGTTGCTAATAATGGCCCATACTTCATATCGAATAGTTATTTAATGATCATAAAACAATATTTTCTGATATCTGAATATATTCTCCAAGCCATTAATATTAATTACAAAAATCATGAATCAATTATTTTGACGACGATGATAACAACAGTAACTCCTCCACAAGGCTGTAAAACCATAAGAATATGATAAGATTGTGTTTGAAAATTGTTTCTACAAGTGTACCTCCTATCCGCTCTAACCCTCCTCTAAACCCACTCTAACCCCACTCTAACCCCACTCTAATCCCACTCTAACCCCACCCTAACCCTCCTTTAAACCCACTCTAACCCCACTCTAATCCCACTCTAATCCTCCTCTAAACCCACTCTAACCCCACCCTAACCCTCCTCTAACCCCACTCTAACCCCACTCTAATCCCACTCTAACCCCTCTCTAACCTCACTATAACCCCACCCTAACCCTCCTCTAAACCCACTCTAACCCCACTCTAACCCCACTCTACCCCCACTCTAACCCCACCCTAACCCTCCTCTAAACCCACTCTAACCCCACTCTAACCCCACTCTAACCCCACTCTAACCCCACTCTACCCCCACTCTAACCCCACCCTAACCCTCCTCTAAACCCACTCTAACCCCACTCTAACCCCACTCTAATCCCACTCTAACCCCTCTCTCTCTCTCTGTTCTGGTCAACGGTTTCTGGCCTCTTACTAAAAGATGGAGGCCTTCTCACCGTGCCCACAGAGTGCAACTCCTGCTAGCTGCACGCCAGGACTCCCAAAGTATATACGAAATCATAAAATAATAAATATCAATGCAACAGACCCCTGGAGTCTTGAAGCTGTCACTACCTGTCTCAGAGCAAACCCACTTCCGTTGTAGTACTTCTGCGGGCAGACAAGGGACTTCCGAGCAAGGTCAAAGCCTGGGAGATATGTCTCTATGCGGAGATGGGGCTAGGTTGAGTTCCTAGTATGGGATTTAGCGAAAGTTCCTGGTGAAGAATCCAAGGAGGTTACCCAAAAGGGTTTTCCCTATCCAGTCTTGTCGACTGTTCCACAAATTTGAAGATATGATTGTAGTTTACTGTTTTTAAGGTAGAGTTTACCAATTATCCTCATTCTGAACGTCATGATCTGGATGCACTTGCAGAGGAGGTGCTGGGATGTTTCTGCTTCTCCTGAAAAGTGTTCACAATCTTGCGTCTCGAAGTTGACTTTGTTTGCCACGTTCTGAAAATAAACTAGTGGGCTGTGACCTATCCTGAAAGCGACCATGTAAGCCATCTGATGTGAGTTCCAGAAAAACTAAAGTTCCTGTATTTATATTTGTGGAGGAACATCTCAAGTGGAATGTTCCTTTGTCACTGAGTGTGGCCTAATTGGGAGGAAGGGTTCTGGTCCTATGGGGATGTTGTTGGATTGATCGTCCCTTGCGAATTCGCCCGCTAGTTCTTTACCGTATACTCCTTCATGTCCTGGAACGAAGTTCTACTCGATGAGAATACCTAGTGAGTTGAGTTGGTCTGAGATGTTCAGAACGAACCTGGAGTTAAAACTGGAGTTTAAATGCAGCCTGGGAATCTGAGATCCTAAGTTATCATTAGTCCAGATACTTACTACTACTACTACTACTATGTCGGAGCTAAGTCCGATCTACGCCAGAAAACCCCCTCCATATATCCCTGTCCCGCATCAGGGTTCGCAGTTCCTCTTTAGAGTTTGTCCCAACTTCCTTCAGTAACATAGACAAGTAGCTTTGTCTTGGTCGGCCTTGCTGTGCTCTACCGTGCGTAGGTTCCCATAAGACTAAATCACTGGCAAGTAGCTCAGGATGTCGGATGCAGTGTCCCGCCATTTTTAATCTCCTGCTTCGTAACTTGTTTGACAGCCTTGGGAGGCTACCATACAAAGTTATATTGCTGACCTTGTCCTTCCATGAGATACCCAGCACCATACGCAACATCTTTGTGTATGTCCCGTCCAAACTTTTCTCTTGAGCCTTTGTCAGTGTCCAGGTTTCTGATCCGTAGAGCAGTACTGATTCACAAGCCGCTATGAACAATCTAATCTTTAGGCTCTTTGAGAGTTTGGATTTCCAGATATCCTTCAGTCTATGTAGGGCACCCCACGCTTTTCCCTTTCTAACCCTTATCTCCCTATCTGTGCTCTCAATCCAGGAGCCTAAGTAGATGAAATCATCTACATTTTCTATGGCTTCCCCGGATCGACTTTGTAGGTCGCTAGATCGATCCTCCATATTCAGTGTCATGACCTTGGTCTTGCCTTCGTTTATGTGTAGTCCCACGCTTGCTGCCGCCGATTCTACTCTGAGCAGGAACTCGTTAGCCTTGTCCATGTCCTCAGATATAAGTGCTATATCATCTGCAAAGTCCACATCGGTGATGATCTTGGGCCCCACTCTTCTGCTTTTTCTACGTTCGAGGGTGAGTCCAAGTCGCTCCGCATCATCGCCTATGGCTTGCCTCATACAGTAGTCGATGACTATTGCAAAGAGGTAAGGTGCTAAGGTATCACCCTGTAACACACCTGCAAGTATCTCGAACAATTCAGTTTCTCCGTCTGGAGTTAGGACTTTGGCCATTGTCTTCTCGTACATGAGCCGTATAAGCTGCACGATTTTGACTGGAATGCCGTAAGCTTCTAGAATCTTTAGCATTTTCCCACGATGTACACTGTCGAAAGCCTTCTTAAAGTCTATAAATGTCAGAACAGCTGGCAGTTTCCGACTCTTGACACCCTCTATAAGACGTCTCAGTACCAATATCTGTTGAGTTGTTGACCTTCCTGGTCTGAATCCATTCTGGTTTCTACGCAGAATTGTCTCGATTTCTGGCTTCAACCGGTTTAGAACCATCTTGTTTAGAGACTTGGCAACTAGGGATGACAAGCTTATTCCCCGATAGTTCATTGGTTCGCTAAGGTCGCCCTTCTTTGGAATTGGTATGATGTTGGCAGTTGACCATTGGTCTGGTTTCTCACCTTTCAATAGAGCATTGTTACAGAAGTCTAAGACAATTTGATCAAGGTCGCATCGTTTTAAGACTTCTGGGGCTATGTTGTCGTCACCCCATGCTTTCCCTTCCTTTATGCTGGACTTTGCTTTCCTGTACTCATCCAACGTAAACGGTTCTGTTCCGATATTCAGAGGTGGGTGGACTGGATCAATATCCTCTTCCGCGTTCTCTACCGTCGGTGGTGAGCCGAGAAGAGTAGCAAAATAGTCCTTCCATTTCTGAACCCTTTCCGTTGGTGAGTTTCCCTTGATTTTGCCAGTATATGATGGAGCTTTACCTGTGATCTTGTTGATCATGGTCCAGCTTTTAGCATGTCTGCCCTGCCAACTTGCTTCCTCCAGTTCCCGGACCTGCCCCTCCAGCAGGTGCTCTTTGGCTGCTTGATAAGCATCGCCTAGCTTCTGTTTGCCCTCTTGAACAGCTATTCGGTTGTCTTCTGTAGCATCTGAGTGGTATTTTATGCTACATTCCCTCAGCTTCAGCCTGGCAATTTCAACACTTGGAGTCGCTGAGATTTTACATCTTTTCTTTTTCTCCTTTTCAGGTAGTAAA